TTTGAGTTTTTTAAAAGAATTATGATAAGATAAAAAATAAAAATATGCGTCTGTGTGAGCAAATAATTATATCCTTTATAAAATCAAGACATGCATAAATTCAATATCAAAAGAAACAAAATTGATAATATTATCTTATCTTTTTATTGCAATTGAAACAATTTGTCCGTTATGGAAATGGTAAATTCAGCCAATGGTAAATTCAGCCATTGTCCAAAAATCTTAAACAGCATTGACGTCACAGTGGTATTACAAAAATGTTATACAATGTATACAATATGGCCAGTAGGTCTAAACTAAGAAAACTATGCTGTTTTCACGATGATAATAAAACAAAAATTCAACTTATTTTGTAACAATTTAACATAGATCTTTAATTATCTTTCTTTGTCATTAATACAATATAGTAATACACTTTTTTTAAAGCTCAGGAAAGCTATTATGAGCTGTTGATTTTGGAGCACTCAACCTTCAATCTCTCGCTTTTTGGGTCTTTTTTAAAATATAAATAGTACTGCGATGAAACACACCTATTGATTTAAAGTATCTTTGAAGATTTGATTTGATATATCTTCATTTGGCATTACAAATTTATTCTTGCATCTCTTTCTGTCACTTGTCAAAATTTCCTGAGAATTTCATAAAGTCGTCCAAACTGTAATTTATATGCAAAATGCCTCCCAAGACCCAGCTGTTTCTGTTAAAAAGGATATTAAGTATAATTAATGAAATACACCAAGGCATACATATTTATCTAGATATTTGATGTTTAAATTGTCAGTTTTTATTTTTATTTTTTTTGTATCATGTCTTATGCATTACGACTTATGTATAATGAGATTTGTATTATGTCTTATGTATAATAGCCTTTGTATTATGTCTTATATATAATGACGTTTGTATTATGTCTTATGTATAATGACTTTTGTATTATGTCTTATGAAATTGATTTCACAGTATCAGTATTTAATATATTCACATATACTGTTGAACTATCAAGAAGTAATTTGAAATCATATCATCATTCGGCACATTTGGCCCCGTACTTGTCTGATAAATCATAAATCGATTTCTTGTATTTGTAAAGAGAGTCACAGGTAGAAAATGAATGTCAAATATGTTAACCATCAATGGATCTCCATAAGTTAATCTTTTTCAGTGTTTTCTGGGTCTTTTTCTTCTGAGTGGCCTGCTTTGTTCTGAACTAGTGCATGAATACGTTTACTACTCACATTGTTTACTACTCGCATTTACCTGAAGGAGAAATAATTTATATTTTATACAGAATAAAGTTTCACACATGTTTTATAATGTGTCAGTCTTGCACATATCTTGATACTTAAACTTTAACAGTTAACACGATTGTTGTGCCCTGTGACCTATTTTTTCATCTGAGATGACCCCTATTCGAAACCTAACCTTGTATGGGAGATAATTTTTCAAGTAAGGAGAAATACAGTACTGTCATACTTTTTAAATTTCAACACTTACAAAATCGTCTTTTGTTTCACTATCAGATTTACCTCCAACGTCCATGATGGGTACATGTGATGAAATTTGCCCTTTTGTCGCTTTTTGTCAAGTCATAATACTTAAGACAAAAGTCATAATACACAAGTCATTAGTCATAAGACAAAACTCCTAAGACAAAATGGCACTTATGGGCTTCCGTAGAATAGCACGTAGTGTTTGTTATGAAATACAGAACATGTAAACAATTTTATGTGTGAGTAGAAACTAGGCTAATGTTACACTCACAAATGTTTTTATAAATTGGTTCAAGGTGAAATGAAATTTATAAACATTTTCATTAGTTTATTATTCTGTATATACTTTAAACATTTCAACAAGGCTTATTTAGAGGAATTAACTAATTCTGAAAATAGATACACACTAACTTAAAGAATAGAATTAACAATAACGTATTAATTATTATATTAGCAATTAATAGGATACGCAAAAACAATTTTTAGAATAACAAGAATTAACAATAACGTAGTCAATATAGACACTAATCTGGATTAAGCCCCTACGTTATACTACCATCTATCTTTTAAGCTCACCTGAGCATGCTCAGGGTGAGCTTTTAGGATCGATGATTGTCCGTCGTCCGTCCGTTCACATTTAGTTGTTAACACTCTAGCGGTCGCATTTTTGCCTCAATCATCATCAAACTTGGTCAGGATGCTTATCTGGTTGATAGCTTGGATGAGTTCGAACATGGGTCATCTCGGATGAAAAAGTAGGTCACCGGAGCTAAAAATAGAAAAACCTTGTTAACACTCTAGCGGTCACATTTTTGCATCAATCATCATCAAACTTGGTCAAGATGCTTCTCTAGGTGATAGCTCGGATGAGTTCGAACATGGGTCATCTCGGATGAAAAAGTAGGTCACCGGAGCTAAAAATAGAAAAACCTTGTTAACACTCTAGCGGTCACATTTTTGCATCAATCATCATCAAACTTGGTCAAGATGCTTGTCTAGGTGATAGCTCGGATGAGTTCGAACATGGGTCATCTCGGATGAAAAAGTAGGTCACCGGAGCTAAAAATAGAAAAACCTTGTTAACACTCTAGCGGACACATTTTTGCATCAATCATCATCAAACTTGGTCAAGATGCTTGTCTAGGTGAAAGCTCGGATGAGTTCGAACATGGGTCATCTCGGATGAAAAAGTAGGTCACCGGAGCTAAAAATAGAAAAACCATGTTAACACTCTAGAGGTCACAATTTTGCCTCAATCATCATCAAACTTGGTCAGGATGTTTGTCTAGGTGATAGCTCGGATGAGTTTGAACATGGGTAATCTCGGATGAAAAAGTAGGTCACCGGAGCTAAAAATAGAAAAACCTTGTTAACACTCTAGCGGTCACATTTTTGCATCAATCATCATCAAACTTGATCAGGAAACTTGTCTAGGTCATTGCTAGGAATAAATTGAACATTGGTCATCTCGGATGAAAAACTAGGTCACAGGAGCTAAAAATAGAAAAATCTTGTTAACACTCTAGTGGCTACTGTTGTGATCCAAATATTCTGTTAATTGGTCAGAAAGTTTGTTTTGATGATTTCTAAGTTAAGATCGAACATGGGTCATCTTGGATGAAAAACTAGGTCACACCGCCTAAATATGGAAAAACCTTGTTAACATTTTAGTGGTCACATTTTCGACTCAATTATCATCAAACTTGGTCAGGATGCTTGTCTAGGTAATTGCTTGGATGAGTTCGAAATCACATGTGAAACTAGGTCACCGGAGCTAAAAATAGAAAAATTTTGTTAACACTCTAGTTGCTACTGTTTTGATCCAAGTATCCTGGAAATTGGTCTGAAAGTTTGTTTTGATGATTTCTAGGTCAAGTTTGAATATGTGTCACCTGGGTAAAAAACTATGTCGCACTGCTCAAATATGGATAATCCTTGTTAACACTGTAGTGGTCACATTTTTGACTCACCTGTCATGAGAATTGGTCAGAATGCTTGTCTAGGTAATTGTTTGGATGAGTTTGATAAGTCAGGTGAGCGATCTAGGGTCATCATGGCCCTCTTGTTATACTGTTATTTACTATAAAAATTTAATACAGAATAAGGCTGTTGAATATACCCTTGTTTTAGACCCCGGGGTCAAACCTAAAATATAGCCATATAATTAAAATAAGATAAAACATAGAATACTTAATAACATAATTAATAGAATTGACAATATATTAAACAAAAGTATATACAGTGATATATTAAATAAAATTAACAAGATAATATACAAAAGCATCTTATAGAAACATATCGATGTAGATCGCCACTGTACATTTCTACAAATTCATTATATAATTATATACTCTGTTAACAATGAACTACATGTAATTAAACTTTCTGTCTGACAGTTTTGTTTCAATACAATACCGAACACTATAATACACATGTACATGTATATAATAATATCTACGTCTCTTACATCGCTATTCAGGAAAACTATGTAGATAAGCTGATTAATAATGAAATGAACATTGATTATGTTTGTTGTTACACTGCCTCATAGTTTAATTTAGTAAGTTAAAATGCTACTTAACTGAACATTTTCAGAGCAGGACATGTATCTTTGTTTATTTTCATAGCAAGTAAAAAATCAATGCAGCCATATTAACAGATAGAAACACAAACAGTTATAAATATTTTCCGTTTCCTATGTTCTAAGTAGTCATTATGATGTTCTCAAAGTCATAATTTTATTGCGATATTTTATTGTCATAATAATGTTTTGTATACTAATTTATGCACTGTTCATTATCTTATGAATATGGTTTTTATGTCATCACGGGCTTACAAACATTATATGATCGGAAGAAAAATGTCCTTGACTATAACTTTGTCTATGTCTGACGAAAGGCTTATAAACTACCAGAGTTCTGTGAATAAATCGTACCTGTTTGTTAATTTCTCTGAATACACAGTATCTTATTTCCTCCTGTAAAACATTCTGCTAGATATCCAGGAATTCAAAACGGCAAACTATATAAAAGTGAGTGTCTAAGAAATCTGGTTAACAGTCGATGGAATAATTCTGAGATGGAATGGATTAAATTGTGTTTGCTTGTTGGCAGCATTTTTGCTTCTTGCGAAGGGTTTGTAATTTTTTTCTCGACTTTAGAAGATACGATAAACTTTTACTTCAATAGCATTGTTTCTCCATAAATATTGATTTATCCTAATAATATGTTGATAAAGTTTGATTCATTAATGCATCGATTAATTCTTACAATTTTGTATATAATTACTGGCTTTTTCTACATTAAAATGTAATATACATTGTCGAATAGATTCAATATCGATGAACATGCGGATCATTTCCGCTTTGTATAATCATATCAAAAAATATATCTGGGAAAGTATATAAGTCGTGATGACAAAATATAAAAACAATCCGAATATATCTGTTCACGGTCTCGTGATATAATTACAACTACACGTCTCCAGACAACTGGATAAATTATTAGTCATCAAACTTCATATAAATGTTAAAGACATATGATTAAACCTCGATTAAAGTGATTCTTTTTATTTTATTTTCATACATCAACCCCGTTACTTACTTACGGAGTTTCTTACTTACGGTTTATTTCTTTGTATTGAAAATTGTACTTATTGCTATAGAAAATGTTGTTTTAACGCAATAATATTTTTGTATTTATAGCAATTGTAGCAATACTTTTTGACTCATTGCATAAACTGCCCGTAGATAGTTAGTTTGTAAGACCCACTTAAAGCACTGCATGTGTACACTTTACAAAAGTTTTACTTCTAATAACCAAACTTAACGTTCATTGAAATATCTCTCCGGAGGAGTATTTATAATATAGAGCAATATTGACGAAAAAAAATGTATATTTTCATTTTCCGTATTTTCACTGTAAAAAAATGAAAAATGTATCATTATAATAAGCAGAAAATTCGAGTATTTTTTCTATAAATACAGGATTTATTTTCATCTTGTTGTATAAAAATTATCATATTTCGCTCGTGACTACCGCCACCCCTGAAATATTTATGTTCATACAACCCCATGAAAATAAATGTTGTATATATAGGAATATATACATATATAAATCTTGAATATTTTCTGTTTATTTGGTGCAACACCACCACCAACAAAAAGTTTTAAAAAAAATAATAATAAAAAATAATAATGAAAAAAAAAGATAAATGAAAAACACAATTACGTATTATTTTGAACGTTATATATAGTATTTACAATAAAGAACACCTATGATAATTTTATTTTATGATTAAAAAACTTGATAATAAAATGATAATAATTATTATTACAATAATAATAATAATAATAATAATAATAATAATAATAATAAAATTCTTATAAATGATATCATTATAAATATCAGAGTGATCGTTCTATCATTCGCCAACAATTTTGCAAAAGGTTTGATCATACTACATGCATACTTTAAAACATATACATTTAGACATGTAGACATATACAATTCGATATAAACTTTCAAATGTTTATTCATTAATTTAGAGAAACGTGTTTTTGTGTTGTGCAGAGCAGTACAAACTGTTACCAGTATGCATTCCCCCCATTTTTTTAAATATAAATCAAACAGCAACCTTAAAACTAAAAGCTCTTTCAAGGATCTTTAAATAGCTACTGTATGTTATATTAAGTGCGTAATATCAATTATTTCATTGTTGTTTTATAAAAAAAAACAAAAAAACAAGCAATGTGTATATCTTTTTTCTCCATGCTTTATTCTTCATTATCAAAGGTTACATTTGCCTTATCCATCCATAACTTTATTTTAAGACATTTTTTACCATTTTTATTTCACAACTTTAAAGTTTTCTTTCGTGTGTAATGTTCTAGTTTCTGGAACGTTACGCGTTGACCAATTACTTAAACTTGCTCCTTTGTCTTTTGGTTGCAAGTACATTTATAGTAATTAAGTATATTTGATATAGAAGTCATAATTCTATTGTGTTTACATTTTGCTACGTTCATGACAAATAATTTCATATTCAGTGCCACTTTATTCAGGCGAAAGGCATCTAACATGCTCTAAACCATTATATCAATGTTAATGCACGTTTGCTTTTTCTAAGGAAGGAATAAATGAAAATGAACAACTCAAAACATTTTAAAAACATTTCTCTTTGTTTCACGAAAATAACTTAAAAATATCTCTAAATATAAAAACAAATGTAAGGAGAACCTTGCAATAACTATATTGCTTACAGCTTCCAACACAATCGAACTAAAATAAATTTGAATAAACCAATAACTATATTGTCCAAGCGAATAATGAAATATAATTAGTTACGCACAATCATTTAAGGACATATAGGTAGAACAAGGGGGAATACACCTTAGCAGAAACAACACGAGCGATGCAACTCTTCACAATAACAAAATATGAAAAACAAAATCATCAAGGAAGAGCGGCGTTCAATAAACGTAACCCCCATCCGATCCCACAACACAGATCCACCGACAAGGAGCCATATAGGACACAAAACAAAATCAAAACAGGGCATAAGGCAAATCACAAACTTACATTAATGGGGGATTTTTTTATATTTTTTATTTCATTTTTTTTTGCATTTTTTAGGCATAATGTACCTTTAAGACAATAGAGCAAATGATTAATCATATTTCGTCAGTTCTATAAACTATGAAAATGCTAGCTTTATTTCACTCTTGATAATGCTCGTATATCTTATTTTTCAGTGCTAATGATTATTATTTCGTGATTGCTCCGAACGTGATAAGGTTTCATAATCCAGAGACAGTACTAGTCAATATATTTGGCAACAGTCAAAATGTACAGGTATCGGTAAGTACCTTCTTTTATTATTCTCTACCTTCATAACCCCGCATGATTGTAGTCCTTTTGGCGGTGTTTGTAGTTTACCATCTGAATCACGGCAGTAAGTCACTTTGAATTAACTAGAGCGAGGCGTCCTTTTGACTCTTTTGTAATTGCTTTATACCAAATTGTCAACAGGGTATGCAATCTTAATGCTTCTGCTTATGGCAAAAATATTTGTACGATTTGCCAACGAGAGTTGATGAAATGGTATTTGTCATCAACAAATTGATTAATTCTTGTCGGTAGGAAATAGTTTACTCCTAGAACAGTATCTAAGAATCCTTCAAACACTGATGGACATACTTGGAAGCCTATTATATCACGGAAACTAATTTGTTACATTGTTTGCAAAAGAAGCAAATGTAACAAGGAACTATATATAAGGAGATTATGACTTTAATTCTATGAACGATTGTTGTTTATTATTATCTATAGTTTCACATGTCAATTGATCCTTTTATGGTGATTATTGAATAATGCTAACCCAACTTCAAGAAAGGTGATATATAACGATTTATTTTAAGTGATATTGTTATTGTTGAATTGTCTTTTTTGTTTTTTTATTAAAACGTATGTTTCAAGGTTTGACTTGAGTTCAAGGGGACACATGTTTCTAAAAGAACTATCACAGATTAGGTAAACCCTGTCCTAGAAAAAAGCCTATCTTTAGTTAAACCCCAGTCGTATAAAGAACTTTCATTGGTTATATACCAACTCTAGGTAAAACTTTCCTTGGTTAAACCCCTTTGTAGCAAAAAAAACAACAACTTTCCTTGGCTAAATCCCATTCGTTGAAAGTGGTTCCCTTCATGGATGAAACTTCCTTTGCTAAACCCTAATCGTAGACAGTACTTTCCCTGGCTAAACCGCCATTGTAGAAGGAACTTTCTTTGAAGTTTAAATAATCTCTGAGTTCCCATTATATGTTAATGTCATTTTTATCTTTTTACGCTTGTTTCAAGGTTTGGCTTGAGTACAGGGGAGAACCTTTTTCTAAGTCAACTGTCACCGTTCCAGATCAGGGTAAGTTAATAATTTATATTACAAATTGATATGAAATTATTTACTTTATTTACAAACTGTGTTTGTTTAGTGAATTTAGATAAAAAAATAACTTATTGGACTAATTGTTGTATGTCTCATAGCTTATCATAATTTCTTTATTATATATACTAATTTCTTATCAAATATGGAAAATGATTTCTACGTATTAAAACTATTCTATCCATTTAATGTCCATGGATTTTATAGACAAATGTCTGTTTTCAGACTATTTCCATCTCTGTAAAATTGTTGCAATAAGAAACGATAAGAAATGTATTCTCTTTATAGACATGTGTAAAACAATGATATGATACAGGTGAATTAAGAGTTACAACATTCACACCCGGCCCAATGGACATTTACGTCACCTTGTATTGACAAATATCAAAGTATCATATGCAGAGTCATCATAAATAATAAAGCGTACATGTATTACAAATACTTTATAGTATTACTGTGAAAATGGAATGATAGTTATAATTGTAAATCAAATAACTATCCTGTGCCACACTCATAAATTAACAGTATAACAGGTTTCCAAATTCGACTGATTTTATGCATTGCTTGTTATTTGATTTTGCGCGGTGATTTATTGTCAATGGTATAGACTTTGCAAAACTGCAATTTCTTAGTAAATTTGTTCATGGTACTTAAAATGACCATATTTCCAATCTATTTTCCCCTATTGTAGCTTTAATGGTCATGCACTCTATACAAGTATTAGGCCAGTTCTGTTCGATTTAGGACAAATAAAAACATTTTGGAAATTTCCCATTATCCCACGAAAAGACCGTCTACATATCTCGCAAAAACTACTACTAATTATCGTGCTTAACAAAACAATGAGAAACCTTCCAAAAGTTATAATGCCCAAGCGCAAATTACAACTTTTACAGACAGGGCTCTTGATGATTTCGAATTAGTTAGAATATAATTTGACCGAAACAACACTATCGATGAAACGTATTACAATAACACACTGATATTTATTTAACAATTACCTATATCCTGGCATAAATCAAACTGCTGGTATGTGTATGATATTTACTAATTGTGGATCGCATGCTGTTTTTTTTACCGGTTCAAAGTCATTAATAAAATTCACTTATTCAGACCTTTAAGTTAAACAATGTTTGTCCCAACTTCATTTTTAATTTGCAAATTGTTTTCATTTGTAAATGTTTCTTTTAATTTTATCAAATTGATTTCAGCATCCCCAGTTTACACAACAGTAAACGTGACAGAGTCGGATATTTTCAACACTGTCATAAAAGACAAACCAAGAATAATCAATCTATGCTCACAACGCGGAAACGAGAACAAAATATGCAATGCCGTAGTACTCAGCTACAAGACGGGGTATCTGATCGTACAGACGGATAAACCTATATATACTCCACGACAGAAAGGTTTGTCTTACATATAATTGCGATTAAAGATCCTGTATGTTGTAATTGAGGTTGTTACCACACTTAAGTGAACTTTTATATATGTATATAATTATGCTTATAACATGTATAAAACAATTTTCAAAATCGAAGAATATGTAAAATATGTACTGCAAATATTTGTGCACGTTGTATGTAATCATTAAAATATAGGCATTCATTTATTATTGAAAAATTTGACTTAGACTTTATAGAAAATGAATTTCTAATTACCTCCTCTTATTTACATGAAATGTTAAATTCGGTAATATCTCCATAAAAATAACGCTTTTTGGAACTTACAATATTGATGAATCTTAAATTGAGCATCATATTTATGATTTTAAACCACAAAAATTGTGTTACATAATATTGTGTAGATGCCCAAACATTTAACCTATTTTTTGTCCATAAAATGGCGGCAAATATAAATCGAAACGTTAAAAAGACGATAACATGGAAAACACGACCAAATATGGAAAAAAATCATAGGGTACTGTATGAATCAGTCCAGTTGTGATGATAAGCGACAGCCTGGAGGTAAAAAGTTTCATGGTGGCAGGCCCTTTGACTCTGGTACGCGGTTAGATTACCCCAATTCCGATTAATATTTGCTCAATATCTTTTGAAATAACAATAAGGTTTTATTCAAATTAAATGCATAAAATGTGTTGTAGTGCAAAAGCTGTCCTTGACTAAATCCCCTTGCAGGAAAAGCTAAACCCTGTTTCAGAAAACAAACACTTTCTTTAGCTAAACCCAATCGTAAAAAAAAACACTTTAATTGGCTATATGTCAATCGTAGAAAGAACTTACCTAGGTTAAACCCCGTAGTAAAAAAAAACTTCCCTTTGCTAAACCCCTATCTTATTTTTAATCCCTTCGTAGATGGAACGTTTCTTTGTTAAACCACAATCGTAGACAGTACTTTCCTTAGCTAAACATCCGTCGTAGAAGGAACTTTCTTTTGATGTTGAAATAATCTTTGATTTCCCATTATCTTTGTGCAAATTTTCATAGACTAAATTTGTTGAGAATATTTTGTAGAAAAAAATAAAATAAAGTAGGTTTAAAAGATTATAGCCGATGAAAGATCTTCCGATGGAAGGGTCTGTGCACGTAGTTCTAAAAAGTTGACTCTTATATAATGTTTCTCAAATCACTCACAATGATGCTTGGCAGATATATTTGTTTTCAGTTTCAACCTATATTTCGTTTCGTAACTCTGCTCCCATCTATGGAGACGTGTATGGGATGAGTTTTTACGTATAATGTTATACACACACACGCACGCACGCACGCACACACACACACTGTCAGGTCACTCGATGCCTAAAGGGCAAAAATGTACATTATTTAATAATGGGCTGTTGTTTTTATTACTAGTGAGGATTAGAGTTTTAGCCCTTGATGAGTCATTGAAGAGAGTGTCGGGTGATCAATGGCAAATACATCTGGACATCGTCGTAAGTTGATGCATGAAGAAAAGAATAATTTTTAGGACATCGTTATATCAGAATAAAATGTGATGAATATCCGGAACAAGGCAAATGTGTTGTTTACCCTAGCTAACCTCCTTGATAAACACTTTTACCGTTGTAGTTTCACGGTGCACTACATCTCACAATAGAATTGTCCATTTGTTGCGCTTATTTATGTAAATCTCGGGAAAGATTTTTTTATTCCGGAGTAAATCTATTACAAAAAGAATTGCAAAAGAAAAGCATTAAGAACATATAACGGTATACTGATAAAATGTTTAGCTAAACAATGTTCATAACGTACATGTATCTTTGTTTAATCAGAGTGGGTCTAAATGGTAAGACATAATGTATTTTGATGGGATATACCACGGGAACATAACCTTATTACTAATGAAATTAAACACTCAGCGTTTTGGACAAAGATAATCATAATAATTGACAATCAAAATATTGTGCTTTTATGTTCCGTTAGTCAGAACTGTAATTATGTAATTTTATACATTTCACATTTATTAGATTTAAAGATTTCAAAAATTGTAAAATGCAAACATTAAAAATATCCGAAGGTATTTGCATATTTGTAAAATACATATTTCATATACTATTTACAGAAGCCCCTCAAACCTGACACTTGGGAGAAGAGTTTTTACGAGCACACATATCAAGCGGATTTTACCAAAATGCATTTTCCTTACCGCCTTACCCGGAAATTGGAACATGGACAGCTCGTGCCTTCTATGGCGGCCATGTATGTTTGTTTTAAAATCAATTAATTAATTAAATGCAATATGATTTATTATGTTTAATCTTTTCAAGACACAGGTCCAACTGTAACTTTATCAGAGAGATTATAAAAATATTGTTATCAACTGACCGTCAATTTACATTCGAATTGTACATATTAAAAACATACCTCAAGTATATGTTTGAAACCCTTTGTTTTGATTGACTTTCATTGTAGATGACTGCTATTGTCCTACAATATTGACCTGGCACTTCATTAACTTTCGTAAAGGTCATTTGAATAGACAATGACCATTACCTATAGAATATATCCATATATTTACTAACTTCACTAGCCAGTGACGTGTGGTGTATTGGTAAAGATGTTGTACACCACCGATCTGAACATCTCTAGTTCGATTCCTTACCAACACCACGTTATGATTTTTTTTTAATTTTCTTGCAAGAATTAATATGAAATAGTTTAACTAAACCTGGTTTTATAATACCTTTTAATTGTGTTTCATACACATTTATATTCTGTATCTCATTAAAGTTTCTTTCAACGGTTCTCTTTGAGACATTATGCAATCATATATGCTTTAGCGCAGACACGATATAAAGGCAGTTATTTAAAATACTACAGAAAGATAGTACACACAACCAAAAGGTTTGCAATAGTTTTAAGAGAAAGGCAATTTTAAAATTAAAAGAAAACAGTAAGAAAATATCTGAAAATCTGAAAAAGGATTCGAACCTACCAGTTTATGTCTACATTTTCAAGTGAAAACCCTTTACCAACTGTGTTTAGAGAGATTTTTAATTAACACCATATTAACAATTGGATATTTACATTCATATCGATTTACAAGTAGATCATAACGTTTACGTAATATTCCGACTATAGGGTCAAACGCAAGAGTGCAAGGTCAATGTTGTTGGACAATACTATTGAATTGTTATTGCATTGTTTGGAATATTGACCTGGACCGTGATTTTCATTTCGGGAGACTTTCAGGTAGTTTCCGTAATTTTTTACGAGTTACTCATTGTTTTTCATGGAAGTATTATTCTCGTTACTTAAATACTAGTAACACAATTTAAGGACCCATGTCCTATGATTTTTTCGTTTTTTTTTTTTCTGTTTTTATGGCAAGCCAAGCAAACGAAAATGTGCACTTGCTCGATATTTATAATTCGATTTTCGCATCGAACAATATTTAAGATTTCTTTCATTATTATTTTTTCTTGGCAGTTTTGATTTTATGCAGTAAGAGTAAATAAAGGCATACGTTTAACTGATTTCATTTCTTTGATAAATATGTAGCTTATCAATTTCAATTAGGGATACACAAAAACATTGTGGTCAAGTTTAATATAAATTAAAAACAATATTATAATGTTTCATCATGTATGGAACATACAACCTTCAATTTGAAACTGAAAGCCTAATTTCTTGTCCCTGAGGCATTAGAATCCATATGATTTACTTCTGAATCCAACAATTACCTACAATCCCTATGATTCAATTCGCAATCTGATAATAACCTACAATCCGTCTGATTTATTTCTAATTCCGATAAATACCTACAAAACGTCATTGAAATTTCAAATGTCTCAGGTCAATATTGCAGAACAATATAACCATTTTGTTACAAATTTTTCAGATCTATTTCATTTGGTACATGTATTTTTCTATTGAGAGCTAACTAGCTACCGTACTGCAAAAACACTGGTATCGTTTTATGACTAATCTACATGTAAAAATAACGTTAGCATTGGTTTGAGTTTTAATGAAATGCTACATGTGTATTTTGTTCAATATTATTTTTTACGGTTTTTTCTTTTAAGTATGAAACAGTAGCAAGATCCCAATTTCAAATTGAGGAATATGGTAATGTATTTATTTTATTCTTATTATGTAAATAATTATGATAATCATTTCTGTTTCAATTCTAAGGCAAATGCGGAAATCTTACTTTATACATTGTTTCTGCTATTGTATAATGCTGCCGTTGAAGCTAAAATTATAAAGACATACTGACTTCCTATAAAGATTGGCAATGTTTAAAATTAAACTAAGTGAAGGTTTTGTTACCAGCTCCGCTCAAAATTCCGCGACCGATAATTCTTGAACAGGGTCAAACCTTTACAAAACGTATTACTTTTGTATTTATTCATTGCTAATATACTAAAAAGTTACCAAACATTTGATTTTTGACAAAGAGTTGTTCGTATGTTAACTTAAACATCGTAAACAAAGTGTTGGTTCCAGTTTTTAGACACATGCACGTCAATATAGAACAAAAATATTTACAAAGTACGTTTTCTTGGAAAACTCTTATCTATTAACCTATTTTATGAAACAATTCAGCAGCGATTTAATTTTTTCCCACGAGTAAAATTTATCTCGTGATATTACGTTCCGACCTCTTGCAAACAACACTTCTGATTTAAATTAACTTTTAAATTTGTGAATTATTCTATTATTTTCATGCATGTGTTTTAACAGATTAAATGTGTTTATTTTCCACAGTTTAGAAACCATAAAAAATTCACGCATGAGTGTTAACAAGACGACTGATAAAAATTAATATTTTACGCACGTTTTAGCAGTAACTTCTTACACTGAAGGAATAAATTATATTACCTTTGCAACAATGCAGCTTAGCAATTATATGATAAACATTGTACTTGTATACATTAAAGTCTATATATGGCGTATTGGACTGACTATATGTCATTCCAAATGGACAACAAAGAAACACTCTTCCCCATTTTTACAAAATATAGCTTTATATTTAAATCAAGTTATCTGTATATAGATAGAATAGTAGCTAATTTCATTCATAAAAGCTGCTAATGTTCTTATTGTGCTGTGTTCACGACCTTGCACAATATATTCATATTTAGAAGAAGCATGTGTGGACAAGACCCTCGTTGGTGAGCACTCTGGCTCCGCAACCTTACTTAATTTGGCATGAGGACTGAGCATATCCAAAAAAATAACCTTCACCAATAACCATGTTTATGACTCAGTTGCTTTACAAGATAAACTTTTTAAACCAGTTTAGAAAAGATCTTCAGGTTGAGCATCCTAAAATATATAATTCTTTTGTAGCAAACTGGTTTTAAATATCTGAAAATTATGTATAATGTGTACAGTTTTTCAGTCTTGCCATCATTCTTTGTGACCCTCATTTGTGTGAACTCTGGCTCCAAGACCTTATCGTATTTAGCTGGAGGACTGTGCATATCCAAAGAATTAACCTGCACTAATGGCCATAAATGCTTATGGCTCAATTGCTTAACACGAAAAACTTTAAACCAACTTTAGAAAAAATGACCAGGTTAAGCATCATATGGTTTGTAATACTCGTTTTTGTCTGACATGTTTAATGAGTACAATTTTTCAGTCTTGCCAACATTCGGTGTCACAGTTGACGTGTCACAGTCATACATTTTGATGAAACATCCAGATGACTCAAAGATTGTCTTCAAAGTCAAGGCAGAGTATGTACACATTTATACTGTAAAAGATATAATCAATATCAGTAATCAGTTCATGTTACACAAACTTTCAATGTTTACATCATTAAGTTCCAACCTACCTTGTTGATTTTTGTTTCATGTTAGATGATAATTTGTGTAGCTTCCGAACCCCTGCTTAAATGGATGTCTACCGCCACTTGCATCAATAATATGCATTACGAGGACAACGTGAACTATTTTTATAAGAAGCAATTTTGTGCAAAACATGTGCTATCATTGCAAGTGCATCGTATGTGAACGGATTGAGGTACTTTTGCAAGAAAGATTTATATGAAAAATACGAGGTATTGTTGCAAATTGAACTTATGAGAACAAAATGTAATGTTATTACTAGTAGAACACCATGTGCTGTTATTTCAAGTAGAAGTTGTGTAAACAGTATGAGCTATTATTACAAGTAAATGTTTTGTAAACAGAATGAGGCATTATTGCAAGTAGAAGTTGTATAAACAACATGAGCTTCTATCGTAAGGAAAGGTGGTGTACTCACCAAGAGTTTTATTTATAAATATTTTTTATTAAATAAGATATGTGTACGGAAAGCCGGTAGCAGGAAAAGCAAGATTGTCTTTCAATGTAACATATGCGAATGGGGAAAGCAAAATATCTCTTTAGCATGGACCGAAAAGAAGTAAGTGAAAATTTATACTAGTCTTTTAAAGTACAACCAATAAAGTTTCTTGTCATGTCGTACGTTTGTGGTAAACTTCGTGTTTTTACTTAGTTTGTATTTTTGCATTCATTTTTGTATTTGTGGGTGGCGAAGGGGTAAGAGCATTCGCAAGAAAATGTTATTGTTTACTGTTAAACACAAAAGGAGACAAAATGGTTAATATCATTATATATATTCGTATGTAAAATATGTTATATGCATATTGCTGGAAAAAAGGGAAACTTACATATTAAAGAAAATATCTTACGAAACATTTCATGAAGAAAATCAACATAGGACCTCAAATGAACATTCACATTTTGTTACATATAGCCTTCCTGGTCAGTTCGTAGAGACAAACAATCACTCGCACCTTACCGTATATTTTTGTTTATATTAGCTTGAACGGGGTGAAACTGAATTCAGTGTAAACATTGTTGGGTCTGAGGAGCTTAAGAAGTTACCCTATCCGGATGGAGGTCGACTTGTAGCTATTGCTACAGTGTTTGAAAGTGCGACAGGGAAAGAGGAAAACATGTATATAGATGAAACAGTGTTCGCTAGAGAACCATTCATTTTCAAATTTACTAGATCTAAGCGATTTTTTAGACCAGGAATGGGATACTATTTAAAGGTAATTTAGATATTTATTTTGATTAATACTGGTAAAAATAGTTGGAAATGTGATTAAAGCTTATTTAAACATCTCTCGAGTTTACTCCCTGGACGTTGTAATTGTTATGGCATACGAGAAAACTGAAAATGTCCATAGCAGTATTCAAACCCAACTTCTTTGGTGAAGAGGCAAACTGATTATTGATCTACAAGGTACTCTCTTATGAGTATTATTTTTACACATTGGTTACAGGTTGATGTTAACATGCCAAACGGTGTCCCTGCTAAAGGTCAGAAAATAAAAGTGAGGCAAATAAATGACAATGGTAGGACTGTTGACACGGTGAAAGCAGTGACAGATAGCGACGGACAAGCACTTGCTATTTTTGAGAATACAGCGCAGAATAACCGTCTTAGATTCAAGGTTAGTTTGGTGAAAATAAGTTTATGTAACATTATGTTATGGGAAAAAAAACGCAATATAAAATTAATACACATCGCTTCCAAGAATAGTTGTTTTTGTTTTGTTTTTTCAGAAAAAGGCTAATAATAATGGCTGTATATTTTTTTTATAAAATAGATTTTTAATGATTATTGGAATTTCTTGTATAATATTGCTGCTGATTTACGCAAGTTCTTATATCCAATCTTTTGTCACGAATTGCGAGATCACGAAAATACGATAACAAACGACATATTTTGTTCTAATAATTGGAGCGCCTATCTTACATTAGAATTGTTTTTAAAATATATCCTTACTACCATGGTTGAAACATTTTATCGCATAACAGAATACAGTGATAATTACAATAAAGGTATTTATTTAACAGGTCATCGGATCACGCGATGCACAAAGACAAGAAAGCGATGTATTTGAAGTTATAGGGTATGATGATAAAAACCAAATTCTAGTGGAGCGCATTATCACCGTGAGTTTTCTTTAAGGAGAACATGTTTGTATAAGACAAAATTGTGTCCTATAATGAAGTATTAATGGTAATAATCTAACAAGACTTTGTGTAAGACTTGAAATTGGCTTTCAGAATGAACATTTCAAAACAATTCTCGTGTTAGATTATAATGTATATAGATATTTTGCTTGTTGTATTATCATGTAAAAGTTTATTTAGTAAATAACCTTTTGGTTTAAACATATTTTTATTCAGATTATTTGTACATGTTTATAATTTACAATTTAAGCAGAAAGGAATTGGACCGAGAGCTACAATAGCTCATAGTAGTCCTCTCCTTTAACAAAATCAATATGTTTACATAATACATGGCTTATCATAATTTTAATTAAATAACCTTTTAAATATGCTCTTTAACAACGCAACCTAAACCTTATTATATATACATGTATTTTATGTCGTATCGTTATGTGATTGTCTGGTAATTTAAGATAAAAATAATCAAGATAAGATAAGTTTATTAAAAATATATATCGTGGCCTTGACTGTTATCTGTTTGAAATATTGTAAATATTTTACTATTTGTTTTTGCCGAAACTACAACGCCTCAGTCTTATAATAAGTTTACGTTTAATTTTCTACTGTTAACGACTACTTTTCTACAGCAAAGTGTTACACAAGTGATAAATTATAAAACACGCAATACAATTTGTGACATGGGCTAATTTTTTATTACATAAGTAGTACGACGTCGCACATGTAAATGTACCAGTATTCATTGTCGTGGAATCATAACTTTTATTTACTTTTTACCATTTATTATATTTTCAGGACGACAACATTATGTTAATGAATGCCTTCTCAAATGTACAGCTCGGAAGTACCGTGTCGAATTACACTGGAATGTTGTTTGTGGTGGGTTATTTTCTAGTGATTCTGCATACTCAATTCTCGGTGAAACCTTAACGCAGCTGGGTTTAACATACGTATTTTAAATCCATTTTAACATTACAAATTGTTTATATACCTTCATTCAGTTTTAATGTGTTACCGGTTTGTAGTACTTTCACTACTTGAATTCTCATAGGCTGTTGAAAAAAACGTTGAGATTGAATTTAAGCTAGCTGACGTAATTACTCGTGATAATTGTATACAATGCCGAAACAAATGTTTAAGGCTGTTCCGGGATGACACAGGGTATTATTCATAAGCGTTTTGTCTATTAGTTAACCATGTACATCTACATCTTGGAAGTGTCACGCCGTTAAACTCTGTGTTAATCTATATTTTTCGTTTCAATTGATCCAACAATGAAATTTTGGAAAAGTACTTGAAGAAAATGGTATACTAAAGTACCTTGAAATTAATGATACAACAGTTGCAATAAGAAGGAGAAAATATATTTAGCTAAGAAAAAGTATGGCTATTTTCCGTATGTTAACTGTATTTTATTGACCTTGTTTTAGGTTGTAACAAGAGGAAAAGTTGTCCACGCGGTTTTCAAGCAAGCTAGCAACAAAGCAGTCGAACAAATTGATGATATTTTGCAAGAATTAATCAATCCCACAGCAAGGCTGTTAGTGTTTTACGTAGACGAAAACTCGAACAAGGTTGTCGCAGACTCTATTAAAATTGACGTTGATGCAAAATGTAGAGGAACGGGGGTATGTATTTCTTACAATAAAAACCCCATGCAATTATATATGCAACATTTATGCTTTGTTTCTAAGATAAAGAATGAAATTTTACAATAAAAATATAAATCATTCCTCAGATGCGTTTATGATGAACCTCTGCGAACATCTCTACATTTGAATTCTGCCGATGCCTTTGGATTATTTCATATTAAATGAAGCTTTGCTATCCAAATAGGTATTGCATTTTCTTCTGCCAAATCCAACGCTTAAGGGCTTCCATGGCAGGATTTTCTTCAAGTCGCATGCACCTCTCCGCTTTGCTTTTGAGTTTTATCTGGAACTATTTTTCATTGATGAAAGCTAACTAGCTCTAGCTTACTGCAGATCGTTGGTTCTACACAATAAAAACACGAAATAACAAAGAGTTTTAAACATATTTCCACTTAAATGACAGTTAGTACTTTTATAATTGTAGTTATCTTTAAAAGTTGAAAGTGTTGCGCCGATACCTGGAACAAGAGATAAGATTACTATAACTGGAACACCTTTTTCTTGGGTTGGCCTCAATGCCATGGATAAGGCCTTGTTGCTTCTAAATGATAAAAACATTTTGGTGAAAAATAAGGTAAGAAACATCTTCCTTGAAACGTGCACTATGAAATTAAACTTTTTCAATTTTTCTATGTTCTGTCTTTGATTCAATAAATATTTTCTTTATTTTCTTTTTAATGTAAGGTATTTGTGAATATTTGAAAACTACAACCGTTCCGAAAAGTCTATAAATCGTCTTGCTGTATCGTTATCTCAGTGCGATGCCTATTAAGTAAATTGATTAGGAAAACATAAAATAATACTTACTCATTATGTGACAAAAATCATTCCTTAAAAATAACTTTATAATTCAATATTGTTTTTAATTCGAAAAACTGCTATGCTTGATTATTTGTTTAAAAGTCTCACAATTCCTTTTTACGAGACAGAATAAAACTATGCATAGCAGATACTTCTTTTTCAATTCATTAATCGGGCTTACCAATAACTTTTGTAGATACTTAAAAGAACTTTGATAAAAGAACAAAATAATAGATGCTTTTTACATTTTAGATGTTTGATGTTTTAAGGTCACATGACCTTGGATGCGGTGAAGGTAGTGGTAAAAATAATGGAGATGTTTTTAAGGTAAGTATGGCCATAATTGTGTCTATTATAGTAGTGACTTGATATGATTAAAACAACCACGCCGCCTGAGCTGCGCCAGCAAATCGAGAATTTTCTACAATAATAATAGTTGAACACTAACTGTCACTACTGTTAACCTTTGTCCCTTAGTATGATATCAACAAATTATTTCACCGCTATGATTTAAGTTTCTTCTAATCATGGTATATAACATTATTTACCTATAAAAATTTTAGATTTGTAATACTGTATATCTGTTCATTTAACCTGAGTGCCATAAATTAACATTAGCCATATATATATTCAATGTAAACGTCACGATTGACTGTACAAACATACAGTATTATAAAAGACCACATCTGTGTTTTTCATGTTTATTTCTAAAATATGAAGGAAAGGTGGCGTTAAATGAACGCAACCCCCAAACCTCTCTAACCATTATTTACTAATGTTATCACAGTATCACTGCTATGCTTCAGGTATGTATTTAGTTTTGCTCTAAATGTCATCTTTAGTGTAATTGAAATATATGTTTACCAGAAAAGAAATGAAAAAAATAAAAAATTATTTGAAATGACCCGATTTCGTTTAATTCAATAACTGTGATCAGGGTCTTTATAAAATGAAAAATTAATCTGATGTTGCTACAATAAATTAATCGTGCAAATTAAAAACAGTGAATAAACTCGTAAATATAAAAAAGGCTATGATTGGTTTGACATCAAGTCATTACATCATACATTATATGCATATCGATTTATCACTAAGATGTTCAACTATTGACAATGCATACCTCTAAAACCCTTTTTACAGAACGCAGGGTTTTCTATTTTGACCAACGCCGATGTTGATCGTGATATGTACCGTGTACAAGAAGGATGTAATTCAAACGCTCGTAAAAGACGTTCTGCTGATGGTATTTTCATTAAAATCAGAATTTAGAAATTTAAGTGTTTGTTTCATAAATATTTTTTTTGCATATTGAACCTTATTTTAATTTTATGTACATGTAATATTATATCCCAACTCAAATTTAAACACGGCAATGTGTACTTTTCGGAGACTTGATGCTTGGAATTGTAATTTCTATTAGACAAAGTCTCGATTTTTGGACCTAAACGCATAGGCCCTCGGACGTATTAAACATCTCGGGCTATATGCGCATTTTCATGCTTTTGTAGTTGTTCATGCACTACAAATATGTATTACGCCCCCCCCCCTATTAACCACTGAGATGATGTATGTGTAGAATTATTTGTTAACATTTATTATTGCTAATTTTCTATTACAGATTGCAATGGTGCTGATGAGCGATGTTGTGTATATGGTAAATGGTATGCTGAGACAGTTATTAACGAAACTGCAAAAGAAGAAAGGGCAAAATTAGATCCATACACTTTGTGCTATTCTGCTGCAAAGAAAGCATTTAAAACTAAACACTATGAAATCAGATGCATCCAGTCCATCTTGCACTCATGTATAGATAAGATGGAGTCATTAATTTCCGGTAAGTAGACTGAGTCATTCACATTGTAAATATTAGTTTTTTTGGTTGTATTTCAATATTTAATTCATACTAATTAGTTATACAACGGTGATATTTAAATGATCAATATGGTCCTTATAAGCTCCATTTGCCTAAGACAAATGTGGAGCAACTGTCATGACTCTTTCGTGTTGGTTAACTCCTTTCTTCTAAATTCTATTTTCTCAGAAAATATCAACGCTATCAATTTCAAACTTGATATATAATTTATAATATCATCAAAGGATGCGACATCAAAATGCAGATAACCATAAAATTCATTTTTGTTCTCAAAGTTTTTTATGTTACTTTTATTTCCATGACCAGGAAAGTTTAGTGCGGTGTTTGCCGACAGGTCTTGTTGTATCTCACATGGCATTGTCCGTCTAATTTGCGCATAATTAAGCAACCATACTATTGCTTAACCTACCTACCCTTATGTGGGTTTGAAATAGTTTTTTTAAAATTGCATGTCTATGTTTAACAGAAACTTACATATCATTCATTTGAAAAAAGAATGTATGCAAATTTATGTTTTTGTTATTGAAATTCAAATATTGCTTTTAAAATTGGTCAATAGATATTGTGATGAAATTATATTTCACTTATATATAAATCACCGCTGCTTGTAAACGTATCAAAGCCCAAAGTGCTTATGTATTTATTATTTTTATATTTGATCTATCACATCTCTGTAGACATTATATTTATTTCTACCATTATGAAATATCAACGTCAAATATTTTTTTTATATTTCAAACCATTATATTATGTATGCCGTATATTATTTACTGTTTTACTCCCTGAACATTTCTTTCTGAAGAAAATATTGTCCATTGTTCTGAAATTATTGGTATAAAAAGTGTCTGTTTTTGTTAACTACAATTATGCAATAGGGTTTAATAATTACTTTACATTTTAGATGTTACTCAACTTTCGTCCAGGTCATTAGAAGATGTCAGTCATTATAAAAGAGATTTGAATTTCCTAAACAACGAGAATGTCAAACCTCATCAACGAACTGATTTCAGGGAGTCCTTCATGTTTGAAGAAGTGCAGTTAGATATGTTAGTACATAGTATTTTACCATTACAGTTTATTTACTTTCGAAATCTTAAAAATGATAAGTTAAACATGTATTGTTTACATAATTGCTATTCAAGCTATCATTATTATCATCACTGAAACAGATGCTTTCGTTTTAATTGTAATAGAGGGATAATGCACTTTTTCATTGTGGAAAGACATCTGCAGAAAAAATGAAGACACATTTTATGTCGAGGATATAAAAATATAAAAATATGCGCTGCTGTTATTCTAGCTTACATTTTGTAACAATACACGTCTGTTACTGTAATTCACATTTGGTTTACCTATTTGATTTTCATTTCGTTTACCTATTTAATTTTTGTATCAAGCAACCGGTTTTGTCATGCTGCTTACGTGCTTGTAGGAGGCAATTAGGATTATGTCTTGGATTATGTATTGAAAATGAAATTACCAGACCGTCATTGCAATAAGCTATATTTTACATGGTGAGGAATCGCATAGTAAAAAACCCGTGCAACAGCTGCGCGTGTGGATAAAAAACCAGGATAATAAAGTGATCGACATCTATAACACCCAAATTACACAGAGCCATCGGTGATTGATCGGTATTTTTTTTAGCCAAATTAAGTATCCTTTTCACGGAGAAATATCGTCTTGCCCGATGATCGACCCAGCAATCTCTGGTTTATTTAATCGAGTCTCTCCGTTTCCGAGCCCGGGACCGGGGGGGGGGGATAACGAAAACTTTCATAAAATGATGATCCTGTACGGTATTGTTAGAGAAAAACATTTGCTGACCAGTTTCATTGTCAAGTTCAACGCCTCTCTATTACTACAGTATAAGTTTAATATTCGATTCCTAGAAAATGTATTTTGGTGTGTTTATTGATTTGTTGTCTACATACCACACACATTCTGATTACGCTCAAAAGGTTCAAAGAGTTTGGTTACTTTTTATGCCCCCACAAAATGGGGAGCATATAGCGTTGCACTTGTCCGTCCGTCCGTACGTCTGCCCGTCCGTACGTCTGTCCGTTCGTCCCGAAATCTTGTGTACGCAACTCCTCTTAAACCGGATGGCAGATTTTGCTTAAACTTCCATGGATGAACAACCTTAATGTGTAGATGGCAGTAAAGGAAGGAATTTTTGCTGAGACCAAATTTAACAGAATTATGGCCCTTTGTTGATTTTTTTCACTATATACTATGTAGAAATTTTGTGAACGCAACTCCTCTTAAACCGGATGGCAGATTTTGCTTAAACTTCCAGGGATGAACAACCTTAATATGTAGATGGTAGTTAAGGAAGGAATTTTTGCTGCGACCAAATTTAACCGAATTATGGCCCTTTGTTGATTTTTTCACTATATGCCATATAGAAATTTTGTGAACGCAACTCCTCTTAAACCGGATGGCAGATTTTAATAAAAAGTTCCACATAAAAATCTTACATACAGATATGCATGCTCTTGTTTACGAGCACATCTGCACAGTTCTAGTTTTGAATAGTTTTACACTTTGATTACTATAAAAATCACTTTCAATTTTAGAAATGGAGAAAAACGTAAAGAATATAGTTATCCGGATTCAATAACAGAATGGATGATACAAGCTATTGGTATATAATTTAAAACTTTCATTGCTTGAGTTTCTTAATTTTTTCTCCTTTCAAACGATTTTAACAGTGTACTTTTTATTTAAAGTGTTGCTTATCAGTGTAATTATGCTACTCTTGCGTTAAAGTCAGCGTAACCATCCTGACGATACACTCAAGTTTACGTCAGTCTATTTCTTTGATATTAAAAGAAACCTTTGGAATTTTCCTTGCCCTCCTTTATGCAAAGCATTGGCCTGTATTTAGAAATAACTTTGTAAATATTTTCTATTGTCATTTATCATGTTTTAATGTTGGTTATACTCCTATAATTGACATTGTTATATTGTGGTATTAAATATAAATATATTTATTGCAATGCATCATATTTTGATCTTTTTTTATACATATATTTATTGCCATTTATCATGTTTGATGTTGATTAAACATATATTATTGCCATGTATTACATTATGAATATACTTATTGCCCTGTTTTATGTTATTGTGTTGATAATACCTGATGTATTGATGTTGATAATACATATATTTATTGCCATTAAGCAGGTGTTAGTGTTGATTATATTATTTACATTTGGCAGAATCTTGGAATTGTGGAAATAACTTTTTTTCCCTAGTCAAAATAAACTGCTGTATACTAAAACGAATTTGCTGTCTCTTTGTTTAAGGACCGTGACAGGTGTCATTGAATTATATTTGCATGATCATTTTACAAATGTTTTTGTATGATTATCTATTTCACGACATAATAAACGTTAGTTCAGTCAACCGAGTTGGCTAACTTTGTATTTTCCTATTAAGGAATAACTGAAAACGTTGGGATGTGTATTGCTGAGCCAGTAAATGTGAGAGTCTTTAGGAAGTTCTTCATCCAACTAGACCTTCCATACAAAGCAACAAGATTTGAATTATTTGACGTTAAGGCTACAGTGTTTTATTACGGACAGGAAAATGATCCACCTAAATCAGTAAGGAAAATAAATATATCATTACTATATGACAGCTTATCAAGGTGGCGAACCAAAGTGACTTTATATGAGGGATGTTTACACTTATTCATTATCCCTCATGTACAGATCCAATCAAACCTAGTCTGAAATTTTCATGTAATTTTATTGTGAGTAATGCTTCCGAGGGATCACTTTGTTTCCAGACTTTTATATTATTTTCTTATTCAATTCTTAATAGTTTCTTTAAAGGGATATTCAGGCAAAATAATGACAAAAATATTAAAATGATCTTTTGTACTCAACTCGCGCTAAAATGACATTTCTAAAAGTTTCAGCATGAATTTCTGTTTAAATTCTATATATTTTGGATTTGAAGCATAAATATATCTATATATGTTGAACAAAATTTAGACGCCAATAGAATCACCGAATAGTTTTAAAACAAGTCAGGTGACTTGAACAAATCCTTGAAGTTACATTAACAGATACTGTGGATATTGTATGATTGAAACAAACCTAAATCATTCATTTGACATGTTCTTTAACGTTTCCAGAGTTCACTGTGACAACTATTGTGAAATCCTAGCGCTCTAACCTGACCCACGCGGGTCAGGTTAGAAAACCGCCATTTTATTCTTTATATGGAGAAAAGTTTTGTTCCTTTGACTGTCTAATATATTCTTTTTGAGGGCATTTACAGAATTAGGAATGAAAAATTCAAAACTAAGAAATGAAAATTTTGCCTGTGTCTCCCTTTACTATTACCGACTCTGGATACAGTCTATTTAATTTCAATAAATCATTTCTGCCTGTAAATTCTGTGATGCACAAATACACAGTGAATTCAATCAATGTAAAAACGAAAAAAAAAATGAAATCAGAAAGATTTTACAGACAGAAGGTGACAAAAGAAGAAAATATTTCTGTGTGAGGATTTAATCTATTCTAGCAAAAGAAAGTCAGTTTCATGTTTTTTAAAAGGCATGTTATTTTTCTTTTTTCCAAAAGTCATATCGGTTTGTCATCTTGTAATGCGCCGTTACTGTTTAATAAAGCACCGTCGAAACTGTTAATGGGTCTGTTCCAATTATCAATTAAAAAAATAAGTAGAGGAAACTCACAATTGTTATATATAATAATCTGAACAAGTACTAATATCTATATGCTTCTGAACGAAAGTTGTTATTCATTATAAAGTTTTTCGGAGACATTTTCTCAGCATACATGAGTAGTGTGTTTATAGGGGTCATGTTTTGGTGCTCGCTGCTCTGATCTCATTATGTAATTATGACGTAATCTATTGTAAGGTAATTATCTATAGTACAATAGTCTATTGTAGATAATTATGTAATAGTCGATAGATAATGATCTATAGTACAATAGTCTATTGTAGATAATTATCTCAATTGTGTAGATAATAATCTAGAGTACAATAGTGAATGTATACTTTATTGTAATGATAAGATAATTGAATCTTATTACTATTATTATTATGGTATTGATTTGACGTCTCAATTAGAGACTAATGTTTGGTAAATCACTGGGGGGCGGGCGAGCAGTAAACGAAAAACAAAATGGCGGCGACGAACGAAAATAAGTTACATGACCGGGCACATTCGTTGTTTTCAGTCGCCGCCATTACAACCAAAATGCAATACTAACTCCGCCTTCTTTTCTCTGTCTTCATATCGTTATTGTTGTTCTTATTCACTCTCACCATTCAGAGACTTAATAACACAGGACGTGATTTCATGATTTTATTCTTAAATCCTTTACATAGCTTAATATTTTTACTGAAAATGGATACGTTTGAAGGCAATACCGGTAACATCAACAACAATAATTGCAATACTAATAATAACAACAACAATAATAATAATAATAACGATAATAGTAGCGACAACTATATAGTGCCCTTAATAATATCAAGTGAAACGACAACAACAGGAATATCAGCATTGACGAATAGTCATTTACATGGGAAAGTAAGCGAGGATATAACCGTGACACAGAACGGGCCTCATTCCGTGTCCAGCGTTTATCAGTCTGGTCGCGAGAATGAATGGTGTTTCAAATGCGAACGTAGAGGTGCTAAGAACAAAGTAACGTACGTTGCGCAGTTAATGGCAATGTTTGGAGTTATCTTACTTTCCGCAATACATTTATCCCTGCGAAAGGGCGAAAACGACAGTCTATGGGTGGCACTCTTGAGTTCTGCCCTTGGCTATATACTGCCAAATCCTATGCTGAGATACAGAAAATCAAGAAAACGCATTGACAGCGATATATCTCAGTCTAGTTCAGTGCAAAGTCTGAACTTCATGAATGGAGAAACACGCGAAAGAAGCGAAAGGTGAATACTTAAGGCGGATTTATAGTGATCCCGAACATCCGGGAAGTTTTGGGGGACTGAGAAGATTACAGAGAGAAATTAAAAAAGAGGAAATCTTCAATTTTTCAAGAGCCGAATTACAGTCTTTTCTCGAATCAAATGATACATACACTCTAAATAGGACTGTTCGACAAAGGCACAGAAGAAACAAGATTCAAGTGGCAGGCATAAGGCAACAAATGGATGTTGATTTGTGTGATTTTACCAAACTGAAAAATCATAACCGTGGCATAAAGTATCTTCTTACGGCCATAGACTGTTTCAGTAGGTTAGCTTTCGTACGCCTGTAATAGTGCCGGTTTATTATCAGTGGTTCAAGCTGATTCGAGCCCAACACTCAGTGGCACTCTGGACAGACTTAAAATATAAATGGCCAAATTACTATGCGGACGACACGTGATCACAAATATGTCTTTAAACGGCACTTTACCCAGGTTCTCTGAACTCTTAATTGCCAACCAGTGGCTAGGATGGTGGTGTAGGACGCTACCTTTAATTTACTCTTATTAAGAAAGTACAACACAAGACTTTATAAATTTAACATTACGAGATTTATTCTAATCATAGACTTATTTAAACGACAATCGTGTAATTTATTTATCAAAAGTATGAATAAGACTATATATTTAAGCAGAATCTACCAACAACTAGTTATTTATTTAAAAAGAATTTCTAAGTATTTACTAATAAGTATAGCCTAAATTCTCAAATCATATAGATTTCAAAGAGAGTCAAAACTATTAAGTTTTGAAGAGTGCCAAAGCAAAGCTCTAAAGCTTTGAAGTGAACTGACCTGTCGGCCAGCTCCCAAAACAAGATATATAGAAATTCACCCGGTATTTATACACTTTTGGTAGTCATGACAATGCTTAACTATAAGATTGATTGGTCAAAATTACTCATAACAAGTTCTGAACTAATCGAATTATATTAATCAAGTGGACCAATAAAAATGTAAATCTAAACCGAAAGAGCCAATCAAGAGGTCTTTAACAGATAAACGTTAGGGAAAGAAGCCAAAATGGACGACAAATGAATGGTATAAATTTGACAACTAAATATTTTATCAAAATACGGTCCTATTACATTCCTCCTTCCTTAATTAAAAGACGTGTGGGTACAAATAAAAGGAATATCCACAAAAATTTAAAGGTAGAATCTGGTATTTAATTATTAAAGTAGCTTACTAATAATTAGAAAATAGGTACTTTATTCCAAAAGTAGATCTAGATATCGAACTATTAACTATTATATCAAAACTCTACGGTAAAAGGTAAACACCAAAAATTTAATTCAAGCAATCTAAATTCTATCAATGAAGATTTAATTTGTTCAGAACTGTATTCAGAAAAAATATTAACAAACAAAATAAGTCTGAGCCTGAAATGTATGATTATCAATAAATCTCTTTTATTAACAAAATAACAAGGATTATACATCCAATCCTTTAAATAACAACCAAAAATAATAACAAATGTAAAACAACAATATCACAATATTATATATATAGTATGACTGAGGCTATGAATGCACATTAAGACTGTCAATCATCCAGATAATCTAGCTCAACATTCCTGTCGTACCAGTTGTCCAAAATCTCATTCTGTGCCCGTGCCTGTCTCTCCTGTCTGTCTCTTTCTTTTCGCTCCTCCCTTTCCTGTACCCTTCTCAATTCCTCCTCCTCTCTATTCCTTCTCTCCTGATCAGCCCTGTCTCTGATCCTCCTCAGACCTTCTCTGCCGTTCCTGCAAGTCAGGGTAAACAAATTTCCTGGCATTGCTGGATCACGATATGTAGGGTTGACTGCCCTCTCTTCCAAACAAACATGAGCTTTCCCGGCTGAAGAATTGTGTCTTTTAGCATCATACTTTCGTTCAACACTGTTTTTTAACAAGTTACACAGCAGACAAAAACAGTCCTCATATATAGATGTGCCTGTTCGACAAAGTGTTTCCCAAAGTCATTATACTTGGTGAAAAAAGGTATCTGTCTGCAGCTTGAGCACTGGCAGCATGCCCTGGCGTGGCCATACAGGGTCTATCACACCATACTGATCAATGATAACGTAATGTAGAAATTGATTGCAAACTGAAATATTGAAAAAACAAATAAATGATCATTATATCATGTATATAGTACATAAACAATAACAATCAATCAATACTTCATGAAATTACTCTTAATCATAGGAAAATATTCCTATTTTAATTAACACTAAGCATTGAACCCTAATATTTACATTTGCTAACATTAACTCTTACATATGTAACAGTTCTTTAAGCACAATTATCTTAATATAACACAATCAATCCTGTGTTCATATTTCTTTTAATTTTAATAAAGTTTACTAGAAATATTTACATTCTACATAGTTCTAGGTCATGTAAGGACTATTATATTTATCTTAGATTATATATCTAAGTTTTAATTACACAAATACTTAATCATGAATGTATACATATTTTTTTATTTTATATATCATTTTTAAAAAAAAAAACATGTATACAACAAAAAATGTCATATTATATATCAACTATTATAATTGATATTACTTAATTTTCTAAAAGCAACTTTAATTGCTGAACCCACTTATTTACAGATTATGTACTATAATTAAGCCTTATGT